TGGTGGAAACCATTATTAAGGAAAGAATTAGTAGGCACATAGTTGAACAAAACCTATTGAGGCAGACTCAGCATGGGTTCTGTAAGGGAAGATCTTGTCTCACTAACCTGTTAATGTTCTTTGAGGGGGTGAACAAACATGTGGACAAGGGGCATCCAATAGATATTGTTTACCTTGACTTCCAGAAAGTTTTTGATAAAGTTCCTCATCAAAGGCTCCTAAGTAAGCTCAAAAATCATGGGATCAAAAACTGGCTAATTAATAGAAAACAGAGAGTGAGTATAAATGGGCAATTTTCTCAGTGGAGGGAGGTAAGCAGTGGGGTACCGCAGGGATAAGTACTTGGTCCACTGCTTTTTAACTTGTTCATTAATGATTTGGAGTTGGGAGTAAGCAGTGAAGTGGCTAAATTTGCGGATGATACGAAGTTGTTCAGGGTGGTGAAAACCAGTGAGGATTGTGAGGCACTCCAAAGGGATCTGTCAAGAATGGGCGAATGGGCGTCAACATGGCAAATGGGTCAAGTGCAAGGTGATGCACGTTGGAGCCAAAAATCCTAAATATAAATACACATTGATGGGGTCTGAACTGGCAGAGACTGTTCAAGAGAGAGATCTTGGAGTTGTAGTAGATAACTCACTGAAAATGTCGAGACAGTGTGTGACTGCAATAAAGAAGACCAATGCTATGCTGGGGATTATTAGGAAGGGTATTGAAAACAGATCAGCCAATATCATAATGCCCCTATATAAATCAATGGTGAGACCTCATCTGGAATACTGTGTGCTGTTCTGGTCACCACACCTTAAAAAGGATATTATAGCTTTGGAAAAAGTGCAGAAAAGAGCAACTTGAATGATAAAAGGGTTGGAGCACTTTCCCTATGAGGAAAGGTTAAAGCGCTTAGGACTCTTTAGCTTGGAGAAAAGACGACTGCAGGGTGACATGATTGAGGTTTACAAGATTATGCATGGAAAAGAACAGGTAGAGAAAGAGGTACTTTTCTCCCTTTCTCACAATACAAGAACTCGTGGGCACTCCATGCAATTGCTGATCGGTCGGGTAAGAATGGAAAAAAGGAAGTACTTCTTCACCCAAAGAGTGATTAACACATGGAATTCACTGCCACAGGATGTGGTGGCAGCTACAAGCATGGACGGCTTCAAAAGGGAATTAGATAGGCATATGGAGCAGAGGTCCATCAGTGGCTATTAGCCACAAGGTATAGATAGGGGCTCTGGGGCAAGTGATGCTCTGTCTTCTTGGTGCTTGGGGGGGCCAACAGTGGGAGGGCTTCTAATGTCCTGGCCCCACTGGTGGACCACCTGATGGCACCTGGTATTTTTGGCCACTGTGTGACAGAGTGTTGGACTAGATGGGCCTTTGGCCTGATCCAACATTGGCGTCTCTTATGTTCTTATGTTCTTATGATGTTTGCATCTGTCTTCTGCTTTTTGGACTGCTTTGTTGCTCCTTCCTTACCTCTCTTGCTCCTACATGCTGGTTCAACACAAGGCATAAGCAGATAAGCATCCTGATACTTTTGTTGACAATGAGTGCCAACACAGCAAGGGGCCAAGTATCACCTTGTTCTCCCATAATCTACAGGAATTCAACGTTATGCACTCATGATGCAATGTGCCACATCATATTTCCCAGTCACTGTTAACCAGTATAGACTGTTTCAGTACTGGACACTACCCAACTACCGAAGATGAAACAAGGTGCCATCACAGCAGTGATAACTGGAAGACAGAAGCAGCAATAGAGAGTCACCTGTCAGAGAAGAGTTAAAATTACTGAATGTGGGGATTGTTCCGTTCTGCACTTCCTTTACCAAACTATCTAAAGTGACCTATAGTAAAAGTAAAGGTTTCCCTTGCTCGAAAGCCAGTCGAATCCGACTCTAGGATTGCGGTGCTCATCTCCATTTCCAAACCAAAGAGCCAGTGCTGTCCGAAGACGTTTCCATGGTTATGTGGCCGGCATGACTAAATGCCAAGGTGCATGGAACGCTGTTACCTTCCCACCGAATCAGTACCTATTTATCTACTTGCAATTTCTTGCTTTCGAACTGCTAGGTTAGCAGGAGCTGGAACCAGAGACTCATTCCGTCATGTGGCACTCGGGTCTCGAACTGCTGAACTACCGACCTTCCAGCCTGCAGTTCAGCGTCTTAACCACTTGAGCCACCGCAGCTCCTAAAGTGACCTATAGTATGCCTTAATTCTGGAGTTAACTCCTCTCATTAAATCAATATGGTATTTACAGATGCATTTAATCTCCCCTATAAATAAGAGCTGAATGGTGGTGGCACTTCTCTAGAACATTCCACACGCTCCAAAATCAGTTCGCTCTCTGTTCTGTCATTCAAAGGGTCTCCCTATCCACTGGCTGCTTTGCCTGAGTCCTGCCTCCAACATTCTAAACATTTTGCTAATCCTCTCCCGCCATAGCCAGTCAGAACACAGAGGTTATTTGCATATGCAGCCTCATTGGCCTCTGCCTCGGAACACAGAGGTTGTTTGCATATGCGACTTGATTGGCTTTTGCCTCTAACATTCTAAACAGTTCTGCTGTTTTGAGGTAAAATGTGTCCAATCTCCAGGTGAGGGCTGCAGATCACTCAGAATTACAACTGCTTTCCAGATGGCAGAGATCAGTTCCCCTGGAGAAAACGGTGGGCTCTGTATCCTTATATGCTGCTGAGGGGGCCCCCGTATGACAGCCAGTGTGATGTAGCAGTCAGGGCTTCAGAGCATGGGAGAGGCTGCAGGTATGTGGGGGGTGGAAAGCTGAAGAGTGAGGGGGAAATAAAGGTAAGTTGATAAAGGGAAATAAAGGTAAGTGGCTGGGAAGAAGATAGGGTTGCCAACTCCAGGTGGGAAATTCCTGGAGATGTGAGGGATGGAGCCTGGAGAGGGTGAGGTTTCAGGAGGCTTGGGACCTCGGACAGGTACAGAGCCATAGACTCCACCCTCCAAACCAACTATTCCCTTCTGGGGAACCATCGTTGCCAATCTCCAGGTGAGGGCTGGAGATCACTCAAAATTACAACTGTTTTTTAGGTAGCAGAGAGCAGTTCCTCTGGAGAAAATGGTGGACTCAGTGTCATTATACCCTGCTGAGGTCACCACAGCAAATTGACCCTGAGTGTCCAAGGCCGGGGCACCCGCCCACAGCCTCTTTCTAGAGGCCGTTGTATTTATTTCCACATAGGCCTTTTCCCTAGTATAATCATATAACTAACAATCACCTCGAAAATAAATGCCAAGTGAGGTTAAAGAGCTTAGAAACTGAGTAGACATCATTAGAGGAAATAACTACATGTTTTTGAAAGCAATGCAATTCTGTTTAACAAAGCAAAGATTGTTTTTTAAATTTATGCTTATCTTACGCAATGAAGCCATGTTAAGCAAATTAGTATGCTTGACTGACTGAACACTTTTAGCTATGCTACATGCACCTGAATAAAGAGAATGGCATGTATTTATTAATAAGATACATTTTTCCAGAGAGACATTCTCTTTCAAAAAGACACTCCAGAAGCTGCTGTAACTTGAAATTAAAATCTTGCCTACAAAAATTTTACATGATTGTATTAATTACTACAACATTAAAATTTTATAATTGAATAAAATACAAAACTGCATATATAGCATAAAGGTTAAAATCTGTTAATTCTTTAAGAAAATTCTGAGCCAGTTCTTCAGTAGATATAACCCAAACTACCTTTTTCTCAAGATAGTTTTATTTACAAGGCCATGTTACAGAAGGCTATGCTGCAGCACTTGCTGATGATACTTTCAACTGGGGAGATCCCTGATATAACCTGAGTTCCACATGAAAAGAAAAATTGTCTTACCAAGACTGAATTCAAGCTTTGGTTCTCTGGCAGTCTTCTTAAGACCTGTTACAAAAAACAATTTAATATTAAAATATTCACAGAAAAAATTATGTATGTATGTATGTATGTCTGTACTAGTATTTTCTTTCCACTGTCAGCCAGTGTGGTGAGGTGGGGATGACTGTTAAAATAGCAGAAGAAGACCAGAATTCAAATTCTCGATTAGCGAAGAAATTTCTGTAAAACTTTTGTCCAAGCACAGATCTCTCAGCCTACTGTCTCTCCCAAGTTGTTGTGATGATAAAATAGGGTGTGGGAATGTTGTACATATTAGATTCCATGTCAAAAATGAAGTCAAATGAGGAAGAAGATCTATGTTTTATCTCAATTAACAAGAAAACAGTTGGACCAAATAGTCCATCCAAAATTGACTACTTTCTTCTCAGCATATTTAGGAAATATGCTTCAATTAACAGGAAAACAATTGGATCAAATAACTAATCAAAAATTGACAACTTTCTTCTTTTTCTTCTTCATCTTCTTCTTCTCGAACATATTCAGGAAATACATGGTATTTTATACATGGACTGACATAATCAAGAAAACAATATTCAAAATGCATAATTGGTTACAAAAGACAATGGTCATTTGAATAATAAGCCTCTGATTTGTCAGATGTAAAGAAACATATATCTACGTCAAATCTAAGTGTTTACTTAACCTAACCTAAATGATTATGGGCAAGGATTCTTCATATCTCAAACAAAAGTACTGGTTACTGATATGAGACTAAAATCGTCTCTGACCCAGACATTGCAAGGTTTTGCCCTTAAGAACTACAGAATCATGAATTTTGTACCTATTATGTTGTCTGCTAGCAATATCAGACCTACAAGAGGAAAGTCTTCTATATAAAATATTAGGGTTGCGGTGCTCATCTCTGTTTCCAAGACGAAGAGCCAGCGCTGTCCGAAGATGTTTCCGTGGTCATGTAGCCGGCATGACTAAACACCAAGGTGCACGGAACGCTGTTACCTTCCCACCGAAGTGGTACCTATTTATCTACTTGCAATTTCTTGCTTTTGAACTCCTAGGTTTACTTAAGAATAAATCTATAAAAACCTGAGAAATATTAATAATCAAAAAAGGGGAAAATCTTTATAGTCCCATCTCTACTACAGGAAGACAAGCATGTGTACTGCCCTCAGCTGCGTTGGCTAAAATAATGTAATATGTTTTGTAAGCTACCGACCAAGAAGTAAATCCACCCTTTATTTATTTATTTTAAATCCTATTATGCTTTTACATAATGGCTGTAAGTAAACAAAACTATAGATATTTATGTCCTGTTTCTAAAACCAAAGGAGCTATCTTTCAGTGTGGGGGAAATTTCCTGGTTATGCTTTTTTGGTTTTTTGGTTTTTTAAAAAAGTAGTAGCGCCAGTACCCAGACCATTCTACCCCAGGCCTTGGAAGCCCCCCCCAAAAGGTGCCAGTACTTAGTACTAGTGACTTCCACCACAAAAAAATCCCTGACACTTATACTCAGAGACTTTGACTGTGTAATCTGAAGCAGAATTTCACCCTTCTAAGTCCATTGAAACCTTGTGAACCTATCCAAGGTTGCCAGACTACTGACACTAAAACGGAAGTTTATTGTTTATTTATTATTTATTTATCACATTATATTTGTGGATTGCCTAATTCTCACAAATGTGGGGTTCTAGGCGACATACAGATTAAAAACCATCTCTCCCTTATAATAATTGAATAGTGGGCACCAACGTTCCAAAATTGGCCTCTTTAGTGTTAGGCCGGAAGAACTGCCACTCAGAAGAAACTGACTGGGTTGACTGGCTGCTTTGTGCAGTCCCGCCCAGCATTCCAAGGTCATTTGTATATGGCAGCTGATTGGACTTCATTCCACACCTCAAACTCCCCTCCCCCCCGCAAGGCAGTTGGAATTTTCAGTTGCATAACATACCTCATAGGGGAGAGGAGAATGATGTCAGCTGCTTTGGTTACCACTGCAGGGAAAGACTGCCCTTTCCCTAGGCAGAGGCTGTGGGGGGGGGGGGTTGTAAAACTTAAGACAGACAGGCAGATAAAGGTTAGGCTGATGGTTGCCAGGAAAGGACATAGGGTTGCCAACTCCAGGTTGTAAACTTCCAGGATATTTTAGGGATGAAGCCTGCTGAGGGTGGGGTCTGAGGAGGAGGAGGAAGAGGGGGACCTCAGACAGATACAATGTCATACTGCCCACACTCCAGACAAGCTGTTGCCAGTCTCCAGGTGACAGCTGGAGAGATCTTAAAGCTTTGGTGCTAATTCAAAGTGTTGCAATTTATCAACAGAGTAGTGTTTTGGAAAATCTTTAGGAATTGTTTGGTGCATTTACGATGGGGCTCCTGGGGAACTATTGTTGCCAATCTTGGCCAAGCAGCCATCAAACCATTCTCTTCAACCCCCTGCTGAGTCGGCTGGCCGCTCGCGGGAGCCGCGGTCGCCCGGGCCGAGATTGGGGGGGCAAGGCGGGCGACAGAAGGCCGATGCCTCCGTCGCCCTGCCCTCTACAGAATCCACCCCCCAAACCTCCAGGTATTTCCCTCCTTAGAGCTGGCAACCCTACATTCCCCTCAGTGCCTGTTGGTAGGCATCTAAGCTTGGTCCTGTCACCTACTTTGGCCTTTGGGAGAAAACACATTGGGGCCAATCCTGATAGGGTTGCCAACTCCAGATGGGAAATTCCTGGAGATTTGAGGGATGGAGCCTGAAGAGGGTGAGGTTTGAGGAGGGGTGGGACCTCAGACAGGTACACTGCCATAGACTCCACCCTCCAAACCAGTCAGTCCCACATAGGGAACCATTGTTGCCAATCTCCAGGTGAGGGCTGGAGAGCACTCAGAATTACAACTGCTCTGCAGAAGGGAGGGCAGAAGTCAGCTGAAGTCAAAGGGGCAGATAATGGTAGGTTGATGGTTAGCTGGGAAGAAGATGGGGTTGCCAACTACATGCTGACAAATTCCTGGGGATTTGAGGGGTGGAGCCTGGAGAGGGTGGGGTTTGTAGAGGTGTGGGACCTCAGACAGGTAGAATGCCATAGACGACACCCTCCAAACCAGCCACTTTGTCCTGGGTAACAATTGCTGCCAATCTCCAGGTGAGGGCTACAGATCACTCACAATTACAACTGCTCTTCAGGTAGCAGAGATCAGTTCCTCTGGATAAAACAATTATACCCTGCTGAGGTCACCACAGCAAATTGACACTGTTTGCCCAAAGCCAGAGCACTGCCCCAGAGCCTCTTTCTAGATCTCGTTGTATTGCTTTCACAACGGGCTTTACTGCTAGTAGAAACCATAAAACCATATCTAGCATATTATACAATAGTTAAAAGCATGCAGTGCAGTTCTTTGAACCTGACGTTTTCTGCTGTTCCTTTAAACAGACTGTGTTATGTTAGTACTTCAGTAGAAAGGTTGGGCAAAGATTAGATAGGATCAGATGGCTAGATTTCTTAGAAACTCTGTAAAGGTGGCAACATTTATTTATTTATATATTAATTCATTCATAGCAAACTGAACAACACAAGAATTTATACCTCAGACAGTTTTTTTGTCAAAACTATTTATTTTAATAGTTGTAGATTTGGTCATGGCCTTGGTTTTGGCATTGTAGTACCTGACATTTCACCAGCAGCTGTGACTGGCATCAACACAGAAAGATGGAGTACTCTCTGTGTCAATGTGAGAAGAAAAATGGTAGGCAGGTAATTATATCTACTCAGGAAGGTGGGGTAGGGCTGAGTCATTATCATGTAGAGGTTTCCCAGGCTGTGACATGCTAATGGAGGAGCTTTCCTGAGGAGGTTCTTTTGCATATGGATTGGCTGTTGAAATTCTAATCTTATCTGTAGTGCTGTTGTGAGATGTAGAGCATTTTGTGTTTTTCAGGACTGGAACCCATGCCCTATTTATTTTTAAACTCTCTTCCTTCCTGTTGAAATTGTGTTTATGTTTATGAATTTCAGTGGCTTCCCTGTGTAATCTGACATGGTAATTGGATGTGTTGTCCAGCATTTCAGTGTCTTGGGATAAGATACTGTGTCCAGTTTGAGTTAGGCTATGTTCAGCCACTGCTGATTTTTCAGGTTGGCCAAGTCTTCAGTGTCTTTCATGTTCTTTTATTCTTGTCTGGATGCTACGTTGTGTGGTCTTGATGTAAACCTGTCCACAACTACAGGGTATGCAGTATACTCCTGCAGAAGTGAGGGGGTCTTGATTTTCTGATTTAATTTCTTGATCTGGCAAAGTCTAGCAGATATACAGAGTTTGCAGCTAGGAAACCTTATGATAAGCCAGTCTACCAGCCCAGGTTTCCATCAGTTATATGAGAATATTAATTATTTACCTTCTTGGGTTGTGGTGTAGAGGTTAAAGTGTTAGCAGCCTAGAAGACCCAGGTTCAGATCTGCCACAGAGGCTTGTTGGGCAACTTTGGGCTAGTCACACACTCTCAGCCTAACCTACTTCAAAGGGCTGTTGTGAGGGTAAAATGGAGGAGTGGAGAGCAACATAAGCCACTTTTCAATTGGGGAGAAAGGCAGGGTATAAATGAAGTGAATAAATAGGTTGTAAAAATGGTAAGTACAATATTGTGAAGTACTATGCATATTAAGAGGTTTGTAGAAATGCTTGTGGACATCATTAGTGAATAAGGACATGAAAATAACTAGAAAGTGATAGCCATATATCTCTTTTCCAGGAAGCAACTTACACGAATCTCACGTGAATACATCATGTGAAATCCATTCTCAGTATTATATTAACTTGAGCAGGGTGGCCAAATTGTGGCTTGGGAGCCACATGCGGCTCTTTCACACATATTGTGCGGCTCCTAGCAGGGCGGCTGGGGAAGCGAAGGGGAGGCATGCCCTCCCTCCCTCCATCTATTTGCTTTCTTTGTTTCTCTCTCTCTTTCTTTCCACCTCTCTCTCTCTTAGACAAATATTATTAGCAAACAAATAATATCACTGGACAAATAAATATCAATATCTATTCTTACCCCTTTTGTTTTTATTTTTGGCAGTCTCATTTAATATTAATAAAAAGCAAATTTGCATATTTTAAAAGTAAAAATGTGTGTGTAATATCTGTTCACGTCTTGTGGCTCTAAACATCTGACATTTATTCTATGTGGCTCTTACACGGAGCAAGTTTGGCTACCCCTGAACTTGACTGTCTGCAAGGTAAACTCCATTGAATTTCTAATCTGCCTACCTGGTGCTTGTAACAGAAGAATTGAATTTTCCCAATAGCATGTGTAGGATAAACAAACAATAAGCAGGATGCTTACTTGTAAGCTTAGGCTCTGCAAGATGGTCTGCCTGTACTGAGGGAAGAAACTGCTGTGCCTCATCTGCTGTTGTCTCTTCCTTGATTTCCATGATCAGTCTCTGGAGCTGCTTGATCTTATTGCGCAGACCTTCAGAATTGGCCTCTCCAAGTGCCACAGCCCAAGATTCACAATCAACCCTTGATGCAGCTTCAAGGTAAATATCGGGTTCTCCACTCTGAAACTCTGCACTCAGAAAATATTGACATTAACCCAGACATTAATATAAATAGAAAACATTCATTAACCCAGACATTAACAGATGTGTTTTTAAGGCTCGTGGCAAGACTGATGCTTGCAGCAATACATAATATTATACGGCTTCCATCCGTGCCGCAGAATCATATGATACCGAAGTGCAGTTGCTCTACATTCAAATGCAACAGAAAACCCTCACTACGTAAATGAAAGCAGTGAATATATCCCCAAACTAGGTGGCAGTTTCCTTAAGCTGAAACACGAAATCCCCCATTTGGTGCATACTTGCCAGCTCAGCAGGTACCTTTCAGTACAACCAACTTAAATAAGCATTTGATTTAGCAGTGACGACTGGCAGAATTCTGTCAAATGGACTAGTGGGATTCATTAGAGCACAAAGTGTCCATTATTCCTTCTATTAGAGCTGCCCTTTACATTCAGCTTCCCATTCAGTCTTGTTAGAGTACTGCTCATCAATATCAGGCAAAAATTTAGAACCACCCAGCTCCTTCACGATGAGCCAACAGGTCGTATGAGGAGGCATCTGCCTCATTCCTATCTACCCATCTTTTGCTGTGCTGGCTGACAAAACTTTGTCTCGTGTTCAATCTATATTTTTCCCCATTAAGCTCCCTTGAAAATCCAAGTAAAACAAGGGTCACTCACTTGATTGAAATTCACCAAGGAAATGGTTTCTATGCATTTAAAATTCTTTCATATAAACAGTTTCATTTAGTTGCAAATTCAGAGCAGCACAATCAGACATAAACTATAAAGGAAAATGAATTAATGCTGCTTTAATAGAGGACACCAACTGATTTTAAAAGTGTTAACTATCTTTGGAGGGATAAAAGTTGGTTATTGTTTAGCTGAAGATGCAGCCAGAAAGTTATCACTCAAAGCTAGTTCCTACTATGCAGTCTCACTACTGGGACAAGAATATGTGTAACACTATGATTGGTTTCAAGGCTTGTTTTCCTTACATATTGCAACCACTAGGCATGTGATTTCCAGGGAGAGCTCGATGGGGTGGGGGGAGTGAACTTTTCCCTGGAAATTACCATCCCCAAACTGCATTTATTTATTTGATTTATACCCCCCCCCCCAACAAGGCAGGCTCAGGGCGGGGAATCATGTATTTTCCCTGATGGGAGTAAAAGAAGTTTGGGGATACTATGGGAGGAGGAGAGGAGACTGGGGGGGGGGGGTGAGTTTAAAAAGCTATTCTTTTCTGCTCTGTTTCTGGAAACTGCAGCCATAGTGGCTGTAATATGGCAAAAATATTTAAAATTACCATGGAATGAATATAACAGAACCCGTACAGAGAAGAACTGGTTTTCAACAGTCCCCACTGACTGTATTCAGTCATTTGGGGGCACAGGGGGGAAACGGTGAGAGCAAGAACCTGCTCCGGAGCTGGTTGGTTCAGGCCAGGAGGGGTGGAGTCAATGAATGAAGGTGAGCATAAGACAGAATCTATTTGCTGGAGAGCTGGACAAGATTTCCTGGGCTCTCATCACCTTGTGTAAGGGGTCATCAGAAGTTATGTATATGAAAAGTTAATTGCTAAAGTGGGCCTGATGTATACTGCAGGGTGATTTCTCAAACACTGTAGCCTGGTTTCTGCAATGTCTGCGTTTTGCCTTTTTACAAGGGGAGTACATTGGAAGAATCTGGCATTTGATAGGCTAGAGAAGATGAACTTGGCTCACCACAAAGTTGTTGCAAGCAAGAACCAGTTACTTAACTGAACTCTTAGACATTATCGGATTCACGTTTCTTTTCTCTGTTACATAGGGGCAACAATTCTCCCAGTCCCACAGCAGAAGAAATTGGAAGGGAAGTGATGTTGTGGCACTGCCGCAGTGTCACTTCCAGACATGAAACTGCGCCATCACACACTGCTGCAACACTTTAGCAATCCCCCCAAACTCTATGGCAAACCCAAAGAATTTTGGAGGATTACTAAAGAATCACGGGAATGCCATGATATAATTTCTGGTTACCCAGCTGGAAATGATGTTGTGGCACTGTGTGGTGCTGCCCTACTGTTACACTTGTGTTTCATTATATAAATCTTGTTGTATTGTTCTATATGTTGGAATTAGGGCCATTTGTAATTAATGCCTTCCATTGGCAATGCCCAGGAGACTGGGGAGGGGCTCACCCCATTGGCATCCAGGAACACCATGACATCACTTCCAGTTGTGTAACCACAAGTGATATCACTGCATCCCACAACACTCTAGGAGTTCCATGAACTTGATAGTAAAAAAACCACAGAGCTCTGTGGAAAACCTAGAATGTTCCACAGGGCAGTGACAGCACTTCCAATTATGCAACCAGAAGTGACATTGTGGCATTGTGGGATGCTGTTTCAGCCCTCCCATTTTCCCCCTGCCACCCTATCAAGTCATGGCAGGCATCTGAGGTCAAGACCTCCCTTGTTGGAGGGATCTGACTTAAAGAAATTTTATTTAATTTATATTGTCTTGCAAGTTCTGTTCATGATTTAGCCTCATAGAACTTACAGAGGCAGAAGTTATACAGACACCAGCACATTCAGCTCTTGCTCCAACCATGTCCCTTTATGCATACGTTCACTTTCTTCCTTAGAAATGAAAGGCTGTCTTCTCTGGGATCAGATGTGTTCTTAACTTTGCACTGTTACTTGTCAAAAGTCCAAGAAAACTTTTAAATATATTAAGCCCTTTTGAGGACTTATATGTAATAGCTAGTTAAATTAAACCGGGGGGGGGGGTCATTCTAGGAAATCTTCATGCAATGAGTAAAATGGAACAGGTTGACAGGATTACTATGTTTTCATGAAAATTGCACGTAGGCCACACAGCTGTTCCTGAATTATGGGGAAAACGTACCTAATAGCCTCTCCTGTACAAGGAGAACTATGCTTGGAAAAAACCACAGACTGAAAGCTGAAGTCTTTCCATTGAGAGCCTCTAGGGTTCTCAGCCAGAAAGTTCGGGAAATCCTTCTAAGAACAATGTTCCTACTAACCCATCCCATTTGTAATAACATCTCTCTTTTTTGTTCCTTTATTATACACTTTCTGCTGATACAGGATGTTTGATGGCCTAAATCCAGGGAAAAAATGGTTGATATTACCACACCAGTTTCCTTCTCAGGTTTACTGCTCTAAAGACAAAGAAGCCTGCTCCAAGGAAATGTTTGTTGTACTAACTGACTTGCATGTATAGGAAGGTTTCTTTCCAGTTTTAACTTCACCTGTATTTCTCTCAATACTGAAACAGACATCAATAGCAATGGAATGCGGACCTGTATGTAAGTCTCAGTATCAAGAAGGAATTGGACCTGGTGGCATGGTACAGTAGTTAGAGTGTCAGACTAGGATGTGAAACTACTGGAATTTGAATCCCAGCTCTGCCATGGAAGCATACTGGGTGACCTTTGGCTTGTCATATCCTCTCAGTCGAATCTATCTCACAAAGTTATTGCTGTGAAGATTAGGTGGAGGAGGGGAAAGCAATGTGATAAGCCTCCTTGGGTCCTGAATAGGTAGAAAAGTGGGATATAGTTTTAAAAGAATAAAACCAACAAGCATAAACAGCCTGCTAAATTAGACCTCATCAATCCCATCACCTTCACAGAGTAACAGTGCAATCCTGAAGTATCTGAAGAAGTGAGCAGTGACTCACGAAAGTTCATACCCTGCCACATATTTTGTTGGTCTTTAAAGTGCTACTGGACTCTTGCTCTTTTCTACTGTCACAGACAGACTAACACAGCTGCCCATCTTGATCTACTGCAATCCTATGCAAACTTATTCCAATCTAAACATATTGAATTTCAATGGGCTTAGATGGTAGTGAACCTTTATAGGATTGTACTGTCAGTCTTTAGATTGCATCCCCAGTTTTGGTGTAGCTGAAACCAGAATATTAAAAAAAGAATAATACTCCATTATCTCCAGGAATTTAACCAAGGATTATTTGTTTATGCACGCGTTCAAGCAGTAGAATGCAGGGACTGCCTTGCCACCTGCACCATATTGCTAATACAGTATTTGCTAAGGCTTGCCTCATTGCCAAAATGAAGCCTATAGAGAGGACATAGTACACAAATTAAATCAGATGTTCAAATGCCATTTGTTGCAAAACATCAGCCACAATATGGTGTTTCATGGTCTGTGTCAAGTTTGTTGAAGACAGCAGGCTAATTAAAAACATTGCCCATTATAATTAGCAGTCTTGTAAGAAAAGATCATCAATTCAATTACACCTAGAAGCATTTCATTCATGTTAGAAGCAAGACACATTGACATTACAGCGAGAAGCAAGCTAATCCTTAGGCGCTTTTGTAGTAAATTATGAGAATACACAGGTTTTAAAATGTGCTTTGTTTTATGATTCTTAGCAGTAAAAAATAATGTGTGAGATGGTATGCAGAAGGAATGTGAACACAGAAATGTTCACTCCTATAATAGGTTTTTTTTAAAATTTCAGGTAGGCAAGTTGTATGCTAAAGTGCTTCAAATTTAGCAATTCAGCCATCTCCCATATACTTCATTTGGACCCAGAAGAGTTAAATGTTTATGCCATTCATAACTCCATCCTTATTCTACTTTTTTCTCCCCAAGAATAACTTTTTAGATCTATTATCAGCTCTCAGCATAGAGATTTCCAGGTCCAAACAACTTTCACATCTCATGTACACAGTTTAAATGTTTTCCTACAAACTGCCTGCATAACTTAAGACATGCCCCCCCAACACACAAACACATACCTATTAACAAAAACCCTACGACTAGAAGCTTGCTCATTTTGAAAGGTTTGCGGATAAATGGCAATATACTGTCCCTTTCACTATGGAAGTAATGAATCCATATTCCTAGACCCTTCCAACTTCTTGTCAATGCTTATGGAAGAATGTTTGTTTCTGATAATCTCTTGTTTCCACAGTGTTGAGCAGCACGCCCCTGCATGGGAGGGGGGGTCATCCACACAAAA